ACACAGACAGGATTCCATGCTAAGAGCTGCCAAGAGACAGAGGAAGTTGCTGGTTCTGAGTCAGACCCTCAGTTGTTCTGTTGTGTTGTATTGGGTGTTTTTTCTTCTTCTAATATATGTTTATTGGTTTTTTTCAAAATGGCAACAAACAATAGCAAAGAAGCAGAGGACAAGGACTGTGTGGAGCACATTATTGAAGTTGGAATAAAATGAACAGAAGGTTCAGGACACTTGTGCAGACGTCATAATAAAATAGACTCCGCTAAGGGACATTGCGCTGCCCTGCATGATGACCTCTGTCAAGAGAGAGACAAGGGAAACACGTCCCTGTTAATTCTTCTCAGCCTCTCAGCAGCTTTTGATACCATCAACCATGGCATCCTTCTGGAGCGGCTCTCCAAACTAGGGGTGGCTGGCACCGCTTTGCGGTGGTTCCAGTCCTACTTGGGTGCTTGTTCCCAGAGGGTGTGACTTGGGGAATGCTTTTCAGCCCCGTGGAACCTTCAATGTAGGGTTCCGCAGGGCTCAATCCTGTCCCCCATGTTGTTTAACTTCTACATGAAACCGCTGGGTGGGGTTATCCGGAGGACTGGAGTACGTTGTCAGCAATATGCTGATGACACTCAGCTCTGTTTCTCCTTTACATCTGCAGTGGAAGTGCTGGACCCGTGTCTTGCCTCAGTCATGGACTGGATGAGAGCCAACAAAGTGAAGCTCAATCCAGATAAGACGGAGGCACTGTTAGTGGGTGGTTCCCTAGACCAGATGGGTGGGAGATCGCTTGCTCTTGATGGGGTTACACTTACTCAGAAGGAGCAGGTTCGTAGCTTGGGGGTCCTCCTGGATCCTCGAGGCTCAGGTGGCCTCAGTGGCCTTCCATTAGCTTCGGCTGGTGGCCCAGCTACGCCCCTATCTGGACAGGGACAGCCTAACTACTGTTGTCTATGTTCTGGTAACCTCAAGGTTAAGATTACTGAAATGTGTTATAAGTAGGGCTGCCTCTGAAGACGGTTCGGAAACTTCAGATGGTGCATAAATTTGGTGGCCAGGTTGCTCACCAGAGGAAGACGGTTTGAGCATCTTACACCGATCCTGGTCCAACTGCACTGGCTACCAATTAGTTTCCAGGCCCAAATCAAAGTATGGTTTTGACTTATAAAGCCTTGAGCGGCTCAGGACTGCAAGACCTCAAGGACCGTCTCTCTCCATATAACTGACCTGGACCCTGAGATCTTCCTCCTCCTCAAGAGGTCCGGAGGGTGGCAACACGAGAACGGGACCTTTTCTGCAGTGGCTCCCCATCTGTGGAATGCTCTCCCCAGGAAGGTTCAGCTGGTGCCTTCATTATACACCTTTAGGTGCCAGACAAAAATGTTCCTCTTTAACCAGGCCTTTGGCTGATTGGCACCCGATGCCCTTTTAAAATGTGTTATGGGAGCGGGGGTTATTGGGTTCTTGTTGTTGTTCTTATTTATATTACGTATTTTGTGGGTTTTTTTATCTTGTAACTTTATGGCTGAACAGTTTTATCCTATCTCCTTATATGTTTTGTTAACTCTGTTGTGTTCTAATCAAAACAGCTGGAAAAAAACACACAGGAATAGAATTAAAACTATATACACATGATCTGTTAAAACACTACAAATCATAACAATAGAAACATTGCAGCACCAATCCTTTCCTTAAAAACAGCCTAATCCTGAAAGTCTGTTGAAATAAGAAAGTCTTATTCCACAAGGAGGGAGCCAGTCAAACCTCTCCAAGGAGGGAGCTCCAAAGTCAGGCAGCAGCCACCACCGAGAAGGCCCTCTCCTGTTTCAGTCACTTTCAGTGGCCAGGGCAGTTAATCCTGGGTCCAGGGCCTGAGATGGGCTTCTTAGTACAGAAGGGTCCCCAGGGTTTTATGCAGGGGCCTTTGATACGCAGGGGATGCAAAACGGGTGTGCAGAGCACTGAGCTGCCATTCTTTTCCAGGGACACCAGGAATTTATGTCATGCTTTAGAGCAGCTTCCCCCCTCCCTGGTGCTTTACAGATATGTTTGTCTCCTGTCAACACTTCCCTGCTGACTGGGGCTGAGGAGATGTTGGTGCAAACCAGTGTGGTGTAGTGGTTAAGAGCGGTAGTCACGTAATCTGGGGAACCGGCTTCGCGTCTCCGCTCCTCCACCTGCAGCTGCTGGGTGACCTTGGGCCAGTCACACTTCTCTGAAGTCTCTCAGCCCCACTCACCTCACAGAGTGTTTGTTGGTGGGGGAGGAAGGGAAAGGAGAATGTGAGCCGCTTTGAGACTCCTGAAGGGGAGTGAAAGGCGGGATATCAAATCCAAACTCTTCTTCTTCTTCTTCTTCCCCCTGATCTGATATCCCTGGCACCTGGTTTTTCTGAGGTAGGCTGCCTCGGAAGCAGAAGGCTTTATCCTTCGTTATCACAACTCATAGCTCTTGAGAGACCAAGAAGGCTGATCCTTCCCAAAGGATCCTGGGACAGTTGGCTGTGTAGATCAGTGGTGCCCAAAGAGGGTGGTGGGATTACTGGGGGGGTGCTAAGAGGGTGGCAGGGGGCACTGGAGGTGTAAATGGCTGTCAGGCTTGGAAAAGTTGCCATCACTGGATCAAGTTCATCAGTTTTCTTGATTTAGTTTCCATTGGATTTTCAGCAAATCCATAGCGGGTTGTGCAGGCCACTGTTCTGAACAGGGGCTTTTTATAGGATAGGGGGTGCTGGGGAGGAGTTTATGGAACCAGAAGCACGGGGGGGGCTGGGGGGGGAGGGAACCCCTGGTTCAAATGCAGCCGTGGATCTAGCTCAGTGTTAGCTCTCCAGGTTAAAATGGGTGAGCATTTGGACACCCCCCCCCTCACCTATTTGGGCTTCCTGGTTTTCCTGGCTGTGGCGGATCTGCCGTCCTCAGAGCAACAGCAGGACGTGGCATCACCCTGCGTGCAAAATGTGTGTTTGTCCACGTGCGCTTCACTTGAGCAGCTGCCCCTCCCCCAGTCCATTAATCGCAGGCTTCCATTAAAACCCACCGCAGCAGGTCGTTTGAAAAGCGAGGCGAATGGGTTGACTGGCCATTTCCCCATTACATTAATGTTATGGGCTTTTTACAGGTGTCTTAAATAGACATTGTTATTAACGAGTCTATTAAGTCAATTAAAACCCAGTCCTTTGAGCTGGGTTTAATGTAGCCACTGGGAGAGATTGGGGGGGGAGGGGCCAGAGGTATTTTTGGTTTCCTGCCATGGTGTAAGGAGCAGCCGGCCATTATAGTTTCTTTCTGCTCCTCTGCTGCCGAAGAAGACAGAAGCCGTGCTGGGTGGGGGCAGAGCGGGGGGCCCTGTGGAAATACTCTGACAAATACGGTGCTGTCTTCAGAATTTCTGTTCCTTTAAAGGAGTGCAATGGAAGTTTGTCAGGATTAGGCCGAGGGTTGGCTGTCCATTCAGGAATAAATTCTTCTTTCTTTCTTTCTTTCTTTCTTTCTTTCTTTCTTTCTTTCTTTCTTGTGTCGTGTCTCACATCCGTCTTTGGAGATATGCCTCTCCATTCCTGGGAACCAACTTTTCATTTTCATTATTATTATTACTGTTATATATTGGATATATATCGCACCTTTTTCTCCAAGGAGCTCAGGGTGGCCTGCATAGCACTCCCCTCCTCGATCCCCATAAAAACCCTGTGAGGTTGGTTAGGCGGAGAGGCCAAGCAAGGATTTGAACACGTGCATCATGGAATACAAACCTGCTTTTAAAACCCTCCGGCCTCTTGTGCCCGCGGGAGAGCAGCAGCACAGGCCAAGAGGCCGGGGTGTCCCTCAGGTCTGCCTCCCTCCCTTGGCCAGCAGGAAACGGTCGAGAGAAAGACTTGGCATGTTGATTTTAAATGACTTGGTAGCAGCTCTCCCCTTTTTTCCGCCCTCTCTCAGAGGCAGCCTTTTCAAACACCTAATTTATTCCATCTATTAGATAGATTTTGTAGATTTAATCATTTTCACAGTTGGTGGCTCATTGGATACTCAAGATAAACTCCAAATGAAAGTATAATGGGAACGACAAATGAGTTTTTGCACCAGAAATAGCAGAAACTTGCTCAAGAAGGGAGTTTGAGAGGAGCAAAATATATATAATTTCTCCTTCCGCCCCCCCCCTTTCTTGGCGCTGCCTTTTGCTGACTACAGTAGGTTACCACAGTTAATTTCGCCAGTTTTGTTCATCTGTAAAATTGCATAAAAGTGACATTTTTGTGCTCATTATAAGAAGTGCTGATTTATAGCTGGTAAATGGAATCCCCCTCCCTTTTGTGTGTGTGTGGAGCTCTCATAGTAGCGTAAAGCACCCATGAAATTGCTTGTATAATGTAGTTTAAATCCAATCTCCGAGAGAGATTCCCTCCCTCCCCCCTCCTTGGCTAAGGAGATGTTTCCTCTCTCCACACCAAGTTTATTTAGGCTGCTTGGAGAATGAGGGGGGGGGGTCGTGTGTTTCTTTTGGTTGCTGTGGTCCATTTCAGAGGAGTGAGCCTGCTACTCATAGAAATGTGGAATTGGAAGGGACCCTGGAGGGTCATCTCCTCCACCCCCTGGACCACCGGCCAGGCTGACGGGGGCTGGCGTGGTCTTCAGAAGGACGGATCTGCTGTATATGTAATACAAAAAGGGCAAAGCACATTAAAAGTATCTGGAGGTTTCAGTCCTTCCTGAAGTCACAAATTAGGCACAATCTTCTCCATTATCCCAGAGTGAGGGGCACCAAGCATCCAGCGTAAGATTTTGGGCTGTTTCCAGCTGAGTTGCAATAACTGTTTGAACTGATTCTTCTGACAATATGTTGACATTGGTATCATCCGAAAATATTTGGCAACATTAATTATTGACAAGCAATAGTTGGTTTACGGAGAGAATAAGCCAATTTTGAAGGTGTTTTTTTAAAAAAGCAATTTATTCGTGAAATAAATAGGCGAATGCCCACTTAACGCTGCTGCCTGCCTTTTTGTGTCCTAGGTGAAGTCATGGCTCCCCTGCATTCCCCGCGATACCCCAGCCCAGCTGAACTGGACGCCTACGCGCAGAAAGTGGCCAACAGCCCCCTCACCATCAAGATCTTCCCCGCCAACATCAGGGTCCCACAGCACAAGCACCTTAACCGGACAGTGAACGGGTACGACACGACGGGGCAGCGCTACAGCCCCTACCCTGTCCACGCCAGCGGCTACCAGGGACTGCTGGCCATCGTGAAGGCTTCCTCCTCCTCCAGCAAAGGCGTGGTGAAGAGCACGGAGGGCAAGCGGACTAAGATGTCCCCTGCCCACGTGGCCGTTGCCCCCTACCCTGTGACGAGCACTTTAGCCCCAGGCCCCTCCTGCGCAGCGCAGCTGGCCTACCACAGCAGCCAGAAGCAGATGGAGGCCCCCGCGGCCCCCAACGTCACGCTAGCCACCTCGACGATCCCGCATGCTGGCAGGAGCCTGGCGCTGCCCCAGTCCAACCTGCCCTCCATCCAGAACATCATTTTCCAGATCAATCAGCAATGTCAGGCGCAGGCCACCCAGCCACTGTGCCAAGGGGTAGTGGTAGCCAACCCCAGCCCCGCCAAGCACAGCGCCGCCGCCACCGCCGCCGGATTTGCCACCATGGCGACGGTGGGTGCTGCCGTGGCGTACGCGGGTGCCGTGCTGCCTGACTGCCGCAAGGGGGCTGAGCTGGTGGCAGGCTCCCACCCGGGTGGTGGGCACCTTGGTTGCAAAGGCCAGCCTCTACCCCGAGGGCATGGACTACCTGCTCTGGCAGCAGCAGAAGCCGCAGCAGCAGCAGCTGCGCATGTACAGTGCGGGCAGCGGGGGCGGGGGCGCCGTCAGCAAGTCCCCTGAGGTGTGCGCCGGGGTCCTGCGTGCCTATCCCATGACGGGTACGGCCGACAAGGTGAGCTCGTCCCCGTTGAACTGCGTGGGCATGCACGGGAACTTCTCAGTGGGGCAGTACTTTGCTCCCCCCTGGAACAGCATCCTGGTCACCCCCAACAGCGACTGCTACAACCCCCCGGAGCTGGCCAACGGGCACCGCGAGCTGGGCGTCCAGCCCTCGGACGGGCTGCCCAGCTTGCCCAGCAAGACGCTCTGCAATACCTCTGTCCTCAGCAGCAGCCTGCAGTCGCTGGAGTATCTCATCAACGACATCCACCCTCCGTGCATCAAGGAGCAGATGCTGGGCAAGGGCTACGAGACGGTCTCCGTGCCGCGGCTCCTGGACCACCAGCACGCCCACATCCGCCTGCCCGTCTACAGATAGGAGCCGCCGGCACTCTGCTCTGAACCTGGAGGGCAAACCGCTTCAGCTACAGACCCCCCTTTCCCCCTGCTTTGCCCTCCCCAGCACCGCCAGGGCCCAGACGGCCGCGGCAAGCAGGGGCCCCGAGGAACGCAGGCAGAGGCAGGCAGCAGCATCCAGAGACTCGCTGGGATCATAGAGCTTTGGTTGTGCAACCGGCTGCCCTGGGATGGAGGAAATTGCTTGTCTATATAGCTCAGAAGTTTTTGTTTCTATTTCTTCAGAATGTGAACAGGGAGATGCTGTCCAATTTTGCTGCTAATCCAGGGAGAGAAGGCTTCGCTGTGTGTGTGTGTGTGTGTGTGTGTGTGTGTGTGAGAGAGAGAGAGAGAGAGAGAGAGAGAGAGAGAGAGAGAGAGAGAGAGAAGGGGCGTGTGAGTATGAGTCTGTGACCAGTTGGATTTGCATGTGGAGGGGTCCCTTTCCGCTCTCCCAGAAAGACGTTTCTGTCCTGTGCTGAGTTCAAGTGGGAGCTTTATGTGCATCACGGTGAGGGGGTGGGCGGGAGTGGATCGAGCCCCTTCCCCAGCCTGCTCCTAGGAATCCAGGTGGCTTAGTTGTGTAGCTTTGCCTACTTTCTAGTTGAAGTCTGTAACTTGCACTGTTTCGATTTAAAGCTAATAATTGGGGAAAGGTGTGAAGCCTATTTAAGGAAGGAAGAAGAAAACACTTGAAAAAAACTTGAAGCGACTTTTTTGTTTTGTTTTAGTTGAATCTACTGTACATTTCTGCGTTTGGCTGCTACACAACGGAGTCCCTCTGCCCTATGTCAGCATAGCCCTAGGTGATTTTTTAAAATTAAAACCTTACATTTTATTGTTATTGTTATTAATATTATTTTTTAACGGCAATATTGCATTGCCTGCTTTTGTCTGGGAAGCCAGCCTATTCAGCCAGGAAGTTGTGCTAGAAAGAATGAGAGGCCATATTGGAAGGATTGTCGTTCCCCGCAGCCCCCCCCCCCGTTGGCCGTTCATTTTGACTATTTCTGTCTCTTTCAAGCCCACCTGTGTTGCACCTGCCTGCGGATGCACAATTTGAAAGGGCAGAGTCCGGGAAAGAAACTACCGGTAATTTACCTCTGAAATGTCACAAGCAGAAGACTTGCTCCAGTTTTGTTTCTCCCAAAAAGTTAATGGGATCGGACCCACAAGGGCCCATGTGACGTCATGCAATAGGTCCCCCTGCAGCTTGGCTTGTGGCCCGTGGTTTTTGCATTAGGCTGGACCCAGGTCTAAATCAGGTCAGAAGCGTGGCTGGGCGGTGGACAAGTGGGGTTCGTAAATGATTTCAGAAGAATTGGAGGTGAGCGTAGATTTCTCCTCAGCCCAGCCAGTGTCGTGTCCATTACACAACTCCTCCTCGCCTCCACCTGCTCTGATCAAGTTGCAGGAGCCTTATGGGTTCTCAGACAACACATGCTGTTTCCTTGTTGGCAGTGTCTACTGTTAGAGAGGCAGGTTGCAGCTGAGAGGAGTAGGACTAATCCCATTGAATGCATCCAGTGTGTTGTGTTTAGTTTTTCTTTCCAGCATATTATAATTTGCTTACTTTAATTTCCTTTTTTTAAAAAAAGAACTCTCCAAAAATATTCCTTCTCTCTTGTCATTCAACCCATGTAATTTATGTTTTAATAAGTTTTATTCAAGGGACCTGCTTTGCGGGAGTCACAGAGGAGTTTCCTCCCTCCCCTCCCCACTGTTTAAAAGAAGGAAAAAATAAGAGTGGCCCAAAAGGGGTTGTGCTCTGAATATAGAGGTACTGTGTCCTTAACCACCTGTTCCAGCACTAAGTGCATTTACAAATCTCTGAGAATGTGTTTTTTATATGAAAAAGTGACCATTATATTCTACTGTGAGAAGTGCATTGTGCACTATATTGTTTTAAAAATGAGAGAAAACAAAAAGTTGGAAAAAAAACAGCAAACGATGTCTCTGGATGTTGTCTTTCTTTTTTCTCTACCCCCCCCCTACCCACCACCCCCACCCACCACCAAAAAGAAAATTAAACCTGGGCTTTCACTGGCTGTCTGGTTCTGGAATTTGCTTGTATACCTTTTGCTCTCCCTTCCTGTTCTTCAGTGGGGGGGGGGAGCAGGGCAAGTCACACGGAGGGGGGGACCCCCCTGGCCCCCCTGGTGGGAGCGCCCTTGGCCAGGTGGAGTTCCTCCGTCCACAAAGGAAGTTTCCCACCCATTTCAGCCGAAGAAGCAGGCCTGCCTGGCTCTCCCGAGACACCCTGGGTGCTTGAGGAAGCACTGGGGAGCCCCACAGCCTCACCAAAGCACATGTGGGTCCCCAGATGGGGAGCAGACAGCTTCTGCCCTTACTGACCGCAGGGGCGAGCCAGATCACCCCAAGGAAGGGGGCTGAGGATGGATCCTCGGTCAAACTTCTGGTGTGTCAGATTTCCCCCAGTGTGTCATTTTATTTGGAAATGAGTCTTCATATGGAAGTGTTGAACTTTTGCGGGGAGGGTTTTTCTACAACTTGATTTATTGACATTCTGAAGATTTGTACGGCATAAGACGTCACCCCTCATTTTTTAGTTTTGCTGTTCCCCTCATGTGCTCCCTCTCTCTAGTCATGCAAAATATTACCACACAATTTGGAAGCCATGTTTTCTTCAACATTTCCTAATCCCCTTCTCTTTCTTTTGCTTCTCTTAGCTGTGCCTTGCTGGATTCAGCATTGACCCCATAATTAAAACACTGATTTCCCTCATGTTTTGCACCAGATAAGCTTGCATTGTACTCAGAATAATGTGTAAATTAGAGGAAAGTGTCAACACTGAATGCTGAGCTACCTCTGCTAGTGCTGCCACCTCTGTTCATTGTTTGGATGAAAAAACAGAAAATAGATGGCGAATTCTTCAATGATAGAGGTCCGTCTACCACAGTTTTACCACACCAAGGAAAATTTTATAATGGTGAATCATTACAAAACAGTTTTCTCTCCCTCCTTGTGGTGTTATTTCCCTGTAGAAAATGATCCCCCAAACCCCTTTTTCCGTTGACTTTGGGACATAGGGCGGCTTTTATTTATCTTCTGAAAGGATTAAGAGTCCAGGGCATTTCCTTGGCAACCGCAAAGGTCAATAGATAATTTATATGATGCATAAGAAGTGGAGCTTTTTGCCAAACAGCAGGACTCTCTATGCCGGCTCTTGAAGTGGGTTTTCAGATCCAGCTGGTGGTCTGGATATCCCCCCCCCAAGACACACAGCCATGTCGTCCTCTTAAAAAAACCCTTGTGCTCCTTTTCTTAAGACAAAGACCACAAGCTTCCTCCCCACACCCCAAGACACTTTCTCTCTGAGGTGAATTTATCTCCTGTCAGGAAAAGCTGTGATGGAGGAATGTTATTTTTTTGTCTTGGGGGGGGGGGAATTGGCCAGCAGGCTCCTTCCTTCTTGCTCCCTGCAGGGTCTGTCCTCTGGGGTTCCCAGGCAGCTGAAACAGCGCCTTCTCCCTGCCATGACCCCATCCGCGGTGGGCGAGGGGCCAGATTACTGCCCCAAACAATGAGCTCCTTGCATTGGGGATAATAGTATTAAATGCCAAAGAGGTTTCGGCGCAGAGCTGCTATCACTCACGCCCTTGTCTTCCCCCTGATGTGGCATATGGTGCGCCATTATGTGGGCCTCTGGCCTCGCAGAAAAGCTTTTGCGCTTGGGAGGCTGGCAGGACTCTCGCTTCGAGGGCGAGACTTTCCCATACTGCCTCTCGCTTTTTCATCCAGAGGAAGAAAGCGGCACCTCTTCCAAATAAAGACCTCAGATGGAAATGTGGCAGCACCTAAAAGGGGGGGGGGGCTTCATGGGCTTTTAAGCTGAAAAATGGGCTCTTGGCTGAAATGATGTGCAAAAGCCCCAGAGGTAATTTTGTTGAATCGGGGCTTCCATGGCTGATCCTGTGAGGAGGGAGTCTGGTGCGCTCTTTTCATTTCTGTTTACTTGTTTTTATGCCGTGGCCTTGAAGGGGAGAGACTGGCATGGATGAAAATATGTGCTTGCTACCAGGAGAGGTAGGCTTTGTGTGAGGTCTTCTCCTCTCCCCACATGAGCCTCCCAATTCCCAAGCGCTCCCCTTTCTTGGAAGAGGGGTGGTGCTGCTGTCGGTTTGACTGCTCACACAAAGGTTATTCTATATCTGGGCAACGGCTGCGCCTGTGGGATGCTCCTCAAAATTGCCTCCATTTGTCTTTCCTTGCACACATAACAACCTGTCTTCAAATTTCATGCTCTGCATGGAGAGGGGAAGGCAGATGAGCCAGGAATCCTGAGAAACGTAGAGTCTGGGTGTCCCTCTGCTGGCAGAAAACGGCTTCAGACTTCTTGGAAAGAGGGTCAGAACATGGCCCAGGAAAACAGCGCATGCATATGCCACCACTTAGTCGCTGCAGTCGGAGCTGGCAGGGCAGCTTTTCAAAGGCATCTAGTTAGATGCTGTAAGAGCATCATGTGTACTTGTGTCTGGGTCTGGTCAGTGCCTGGGTGGGAACTGCTTCGGGTTCCATGACAGAAGGAAGGTGGGCTATAAATGTAAAAGATGAGAGAGGGGGGGGATCAAGCAGCAGAGAGATGTCCATTTCAACAGTCACACAGGACGGCATGTCTCTCCCACCAGGATAATCTGCCTTGGTCATTGCCAACTTCCCCACTGGAGATGGCAGAGGCAATGGCAGGAGGAACACAGGAAGGTGCCTTGCACCAAGTCGGACCCTGGCTCTGTGGAACCTGGTTTTAGAAAGCCCTGCCTGGAGATGCTGCAGGGGTAGAGATGGACCTTCTGCATGCAGAGCAGATGATGTACCCACTGAGCCGTGTGGCCCTTGCCAACTATACAAAGGATGGGTGCTGAAAGTAGCAGTTAGCAGTGGTTCAGGCCAAAGGTCTATCTAGTTCAGCCTTTCGCAACCTTCGCCAGACGTGGTTGGGCTACAGCTCCCATCCTTCTTACCCAGCATAGCCATTGGCCAGGGATGATGGGAGCTGTAGTTTGAGAACATCTGGCGACCCAAGGTTGAGACAGGCCGATCTAGTCCCACGTGATCTTTTTCACAGTGGCCAACCAGATTTTTCAACTCTATTTTGATAAATCTTATATCTGTTTTTTATGTAATTATATACGGTATTTTTTATGTAAAGCGCAGAGAGGTTTTGTTCGCTTAATGGTCTCTGTCGAGAAGCAGGACAGAAAGCCTTATCATGTTGTCCAATGACAGGCATTCAGAGGCTGATGTATATAGAGCCATCACGGCTCATTGCCATTGGTAGCCTTGCCCTCCGTGAATTTGTCTTACCCTCTCAACTATGCACTGTGGTTTGGGCATGTAGAAGAGACACAATGCATGCCAGAAGCCTGATGTGACACTTGCTCTTAGGTGCATGCAGAGTGCTCTGTCCACATGCACACCATCCCAGCAGTGGCAGACCTTAGGGTCTTAAATTCCACCGCCTCTTGCCTTCTACACCCTAGCTGCGTCACCCCTTGCAGAACCCCCGAGGCTCTGTGCCCAGCGGACTGAACTCTGCTAAATCCACCTCTGATCCCAGGGTCAAGGGAAGGGTTTCCATTGCCGTGATTAACCCTTGCCTCCTCTATGGGAAATGTCCCTGGATCCCAGGCAGCAATTTGGCCAGACTTCTTATCCTCTAGAAGAGGTCCCCTCCAAGGACAATCTCTCAGCAGGGAAATCTGATTCTCTTCCTGCCCTTGTTCCTCCCAGATGCATCAAGCAACCCACTTCCTCCTCCGCCTTACCAAGTAGGAACATTTCAAGGCCAGCTGGGGGGAAATGGCTAAGCCTTGTTGGAGGGCCTGCGGATCTCACTAGCAGGGGAGCAATGGGGAAGTATCTCATTTCAGCAGTTGCTTTTCATGCAGCCCATAGAGGGGCCAAAGGCTTCCTCCCTCACACTAGGAGGACACAGGACCCCTTCCAGTCCCACTCTTGCAGCCTAAACATGGAAGAAAGGGCAGCCCTTTAACTGCTGCACTTGGATGCCAGGCCAAGAGTTGTGCCACGGAAAGGTTTGTTCCTGCTGTGGTGGCTGAGTTGAGAAGCACCATGGACATCCAGCAAGGGACATCCAATGAAGCAAGCGCACCAGCTTGCCCCCGCAATTGTGGGGGGGCGCTGCCAGGCGACATGGGCATGCCATGTGCACACGCCATGCAACATGCTGATATCACGCGTGCTCTGACTTTGCTTGTGGGGAAGTGGAGAATTTGCACATGACTTTCCCACATCTCTGCATTCAATTCCCCAGCTTCTTTTACTTTCTTATTCGCTGTGATTCCTGCCTTGCAGGGGGCTGGACCAGATGACCCTTGAGGTTCCTTCCAGCTCTCCTTTGAATGTCTCTGCTCTGCTCCGTGTTCAGGAGACCCAGCAGGAGGGAATGCTCCCCAGGTGAGAAGAGGTGTGGGACCCAGGCTAGCCCTTCTGGAGGACGCAGGAGACAGAGGGATTATGCGCCCCCCCCCCGCGCACCTCCTGTAACTCTGGATATTTATGGCAAGCTGGGAAGGAAGCGCTCGCTCAGTGGCACTGTAGCCACCATGACAGCCAATCAAGGGAACAAAGAAGGATTGGCACAAAGGGGGGGATTTCACTGAGGCTCATGCTACGGGGGGGGGGAGAAGGAGGGGGCTGGGGGAGAGAAATCAGCGCAAGAGATCTGACTGCCTTGTGGCACGTTCAAATTAAATTTTCTTCAGGAAAAATATTTGCTTAGATCTTTTTTTAAAAAAAATGTCAGGGGGAGAGAGGCGAATAAAAGACACGTGGAGGTGCTGCATTCTGCGGAGGAAACGGGGGAAATGGAGGCTGGAGGAGTTTCTGACGGCCAGAGACAGCCACTCGGTTCAGCGTTGCCACATCAAGTGCTGTGAGCCAAAGCCGCGCTCGCTTGGCCCAAGCTGGG